GAGAGAGAGAGAGAGAGAGAGAAAAGGCGAGAAAGAAGAAAAGGGCTATAAAGCAAATGCGACGAACAGAGAGAGAAATGTAGTTCCGATTCAGAGGGGTTCGTAGAACGCCGCCTACGTTGGATTGCGAGGGGAGGACAGGGGAAGAGGAGAGACTCAAGAATCTCAACCTTTATTTGGATTTAAGTAAGGAAAAGGGTTGTAAGATGTGTCGGATCTGGTGGATTCGGGGCCAGCCGGAACGAAGGGGAAGGGAAATTTCACGACGGCGTGGCGCATACGGAAGAAGCTCGAAGTACGTGAATGTAAATTTTATGATCAAAGTAGCGGATTAATACGGAAGCAATGCTCCTCTGCGGTTACCAGCAACGACGGTATCTATCTGTGGTTGTACGGTCCTGCTGGTTTTAATACTTCTGATTTCGCGAGACGCCTCCGCATCGTCTCTCCAAATATACGGAAATTCAGCAGGAATTACGTATCTGCACAAGCGCAAACACACGCGCTTTATTAACGACGATCTGGAAATTCGGGAAAGTTATAACTTTCAATTCTCTCTCGTTACAATTTAATCTCACGCGACATGAATATTCAGACGTAAACGACGCGATATTAAACTGAAATAGGTATCTGTCCGGGAATGAACGAAACTTCATGCGGCGGGAAACTCTTTGAATTCGCGATTCTCATTACACCGTATGAAAAGGTACGATACGGCCGTACATGGTGGAAAAGAATGCTCGTGGCCGTTCGAGCGCGATGAAATCTACTAGGACAAACCTAGAAGAGCAACGCTTTGGAACAGAAACGATTTGCTTGATGTCCAGGCATGGCCATAAAAAGCGAACGAGAGGAGCAACAGTCCCAGAACAATAATTCGAAAAGTTCCTTCGTTTGGAAACAATAATTAAAATAAACGTTTCGCGGTAGAAGTTTCGTCGGAGTAGAGCGAAGAAAAATGAATCAAGTTGAACACGAAATACTTTCGAGCATCTGCCACTGTTGCCCCCGCTTCGTCAAA